TGGGAATTGTGCTTTAGAAGTGCCTGTTTTGAGCCTGTTTCTTGCCTGTCTAAAAATGAGCCTTGATGACTATCTCGGATGTGGATGACTAACATCAGGGGGTTGAATCTCTTCCTGTGGTTTCCATGTTTTTCCTTCATTGCTCATTCTTCTCCCCTCTCTCCGTAAGTGGAGTTTAAGCAGGCCAGTTTCTCATGCTGTTCCAGTTTTGAGAAGCTTGACTTCTTGAGCAAAATCATCCTTTTGTATTTTTTTGCTAGCTTTCATTGGGAAAATAAAGGAAACACCCAAAACAGATTACCCCAGCCCCAAATAAGATCATCCAAGCAAGCCAGCAGGATGTGTCACCCTGAGAGTTTGTACTGGAGAATTGCAACAGCATCGAGACATTTTTCTTATGCAACACTGTGCATGTACGTGTGTGTGTATAACTCCTTCCTTTCCATCTCTGTAGTTCTGACTGTGTTTCTGGCATGTTGCACGTGTTCGTGACATAGAATCTGACGCCAGCGATAAAACTCCTTCTTTAAGGGGCTTGCTGCTTATCTTGGAAACATTGCCAGTGTTAAATAAAACGTTGCAAGTGTTCTTAGAGTTTGAAGAAGCAGCATTCTGCCTGTGGTATGTAATATCCTTATGATTCAGAGTTGTGCTGAGCAAGACAAGCATGAGTTAAGGTTCTGGCCTGTGGTGAAATAAAGTTGTATATCACTTGGGCTGCCAAGGTCTTTCCTCACACAGATTGTGTATTCTTGGTAAAACACAGGACTGTGTTGGTGGATGTGATATGACTGTTGCTACGATTCTTGAGTGTGGAGCATTGTGATGCTGTTTGGATAAACATTTGCTATTTACCGTCTTGATGTATGGCCTTTTCTTTTTTTAATGGTAGGTCTAACTAGGCTCCTGAGCATAGGCAGATTTTCCCCAGTGCTCAGTACCCATTTTCAAAGACTGCGCCTGTACTACTGAGCTGGGGTGACCTCAAAGCCAGGTGTGAAAACAGAGCTGCTCTTGGATCCTGCTAGTGTGACCAGGATGATACTTTCAGGGTAATACTTTAGGTGCTTCATCAGGCCTGAAAGCACATCAAAGGCTATATTTTTTTGACATGCAATGCTGGCCCCTTCACCTTCCTGTATCCCATCTGCCCTGTGGCAGTGTCGCAAGCCAGTCTGCAGGCAAGCAGAAATTCTAGGGTCATGCCTAGTAAATACCCCTGTTGTCTGCTGCAAGGGTAGATAAGATTCATAAGCACCATTCAGATGGGCTCAGTAGGGAATTTGAACATTCTGTGCTTGTTCTCAAAAGCACGTCAGCTTTCAGGATGCTCCTGGAATCTGTCTGCTCAAATAGGTGCTGAAGTTGCTGGGATCGGCCAAGTGCTCTGACTGTGTTTGCTGAGGTGCCTCTGGGGTAGATGCAGGTTTCTGAGTTTATTTTCATGTCAAAAACTGAATTTTGTCACCCTTGCCTTGAGTCAGGACTTTGTCCTTCTGGTTTGCATCCTGCTTCTGAATTGCTCCTTAGTCAAGTCCTCTGCATGCCACTTTTCAGCTGTGTCAAGGCACAAGACCAGCCCATACAAACGTAAAGACCCGTAACGGTCTTAATTTTTCATTCATCAGAGTAGGTCAAATATCACAAGGGAGTTGTAGAAAGGGCATACCCTCACAGTACACCCTCGTGGTACACTAAGTCCATCCCTCTTAAACCTCAGTGTGTTGGAGTGCTCTGGGAAGTGGAAATGCCAGAGATTACTTGTCACTATAGAGCCAAAGCAGAGCTTTAAAAAGGGAAAATCTTGGCACCAAACAAACCTCATTTCTTTCCGTTGCTTTGTATTCAGGACAAATTAATCTCTATTGAAATCTGCTGTACTTGCCACTAAATTTGTTGTCTCTTCTAAAAGCATCTCTTCTCCTGTGAAGAGAGATTTACAGAAAGTGTATGTATATATATATATATATTTTTTTTTTTTCAATTTTAATGCATACTAGAAAACTCTTTATTGTATGTTTTATTTAGTAATTCAACATTAACCTTTACATTCACATCTGTAAATAATACTATAAAAGTGAACTGGGCCAGAGAGACCTTTCAGGAATTTGTTCTGTCATACAGCTTTAAGAGTCAATCATCTAGTTAAAATTCAAAGTGGACGCCTGGAATAAGTAGGTGAATAAATAAATAAAAGTTCTTGAAATGAATAATATCCTCCTTATCTCTTTATCTGAAATCACCTAAAGGCTGCAAGTTCAATTTAATCCTTCTACCATCAGTCAGTCTGAGCTTTAATAGAAAAAAGGGGGGAAAAAAGTACTCAGTAGCTGGTCTCTGGTTTTCAACTTGATAGAGAGAAGGATGCTCCCTGAATGAGAGACTCCGGGAGAGATGAGTAGTTAGAAAGAGATTGTGCTTCATGCCACCGAGCTATCTGTAGCTACTGCTGATATCCAGCTGCCAAAGAAAAGGAAATGCTAGGGGCAAAAGATAAAAGAGAATCTAAGGAAATGGATGCGTTTTTCTAATCCTTTCCTCTCATGGTGAGAATTGTTAATCCGTTGCAGAATACAATACAGATGCTAGTCCCATTTGCAGTTGCTTGTGAATGGGAGTTAACTGAGGCTAAGCTGCCTGGAGCCTGTGATTTGCACAGCATCGTGGCTCAATCTGCAAGTCGTGCCCACTGGAGCCAGGGAATGGAAAGGATAGCCAAGTTGTGTGGTGCAACTGATGCAACTCAGTCTGTGTGCAGAGGTCCTTGTATGTGTAAAGGCATGTCAAATGACTCAAGGAATATTGCTGGCAGGCACCATGCTAATGTCAAGGCAGAGTTGTAGCACTACAGTTTTGACTCTTGGACGGTGGATTTTCAATTATTATTTCTAAAATTCCGGATGTTCCTTCAGAAGGAAGGATGTGATGCCATTTGGATAAACATTTGCTATTTACCTTCTTGACACACGGCCTTGATGTTGACTTCATAAACCTATCCTCGATTTTGGAGAAGGAATTTTCTTTTTCTGGCTCCTTTAATTAAAAGAGATAAGCAATGCTTTATTTGGTATCTACGGATAATTCCTTTTGGGGCAGAGGATTCTCTACTGTATTTTTTTAGACTATCACTGTGATTGGTTGACCAGAAAAGCAGAGGAAGCCCAGATAACGTGGGTTTTAGTGCAGTATCTTACCTTATCTAGTGACAGTGCCAAAGAAATACTGCCAAATCAGAATATTCAGATCATGTCTGATCACCTGAAGACCATGGGGCAGAAAATCTTTCCTAATATTCCTTACCACAAGCCCAGTGATGTTCGTTGGAGTGAAGTCTACAAAATTGGAGCCCATTTTGACATGAAGATTGGAGGATGCCTGCTTCCATCTCTTTTCCCCTAACGTGCTTTATTCACTGGCAGCTTGAGCTGTCACTGGCAGAAACTGGACTTCCCCTTGGCATAAATGCAAAGGACTGATTCTTTTGTCTTTTCACATACTAGTTGCATTAGATACTTGATGGGATCTGAATTTCAGTTTTTGAGTTTCCTTTTGCTAGCTATACAGGGGTTTGCTTGTGTAGTTGACTACAAACATAGTAAGAACTAATCAGCTGCCTCAGGCTTTGGACGCTGCTCAAACAGCCCTTTCCAATCACCTTTGTAAATTGTTCTATGGTCCAGCTCTGATGTGGCTGCTGGATCTCTGTGGTCAAAGATACTGACCATTCAAGGAAGTTTCATATTCAGTGCTAGAACGTATAGTTTATCTTCCCAGTCACACTTAGCCGTCCATTATAGCTGTACCATAGTACACATCACTAGGTTGTGAACCCTTCTAATCTGAACATGGACCTGCCTCCGATTTGTAAATCCAGTTGCTCAAAATCAAATCAACTGCAGAACCTTTACTCAAATGATATCGTTTTCCCATTAAGGACCTAAATTTGGGTATTACAAACATTTAAGTTTGTAATAAGTTTTCTCAGCTCTGTTATCTACCTCCTTAGCCTGCAATCAACCCTTATTTTATTAAGCCAGAATTTATTTCAGATGAAATTTTTTTGAAATCCTGTTCAAAACACTGCCTGCTATTTATTTCTCTGTGATCTATTTGTATAGCAGAATAGTTATTTCTTAAAGTGTATTTTTTTCTGAAGAACCAAACTTGCCCAAAGTTGGAGAAAAGGAGCTTACGTATGCTTTGAGTGAGTGGATTGTGGGTAATAAACTAACTATATGGAGAATGGTGTTTAAGGTATTAAGCTGAGTATGTATGAAGTGAACCTATGTCTGAGACTTAATGTGGAGTTGCATGGAAATTTGTTCACATTACAGCTGCAAAATTTGTTAGCCAGAAAGACTTAAAACGATTGTTAGATTGAAAATTTGGCTTTCAAGAAGAACCGCTTCACTATCTTTAATATTTAACTAATGAGCAGATTGATTTCTAACTGATTTCAAAATTTAGACCTTGTTCTGAACACAGAAGTTGTAAGGAGCAATTTCCTTTTCTTTCCCACATAGAAGAAAGATGTAATCTACACCGTAAAAATGAATCGCAGCATGACCTTGAGTAAAGAGTCACTACCTACCACATCATAGCCATGTTAACTAATCTAATTTGTCTTTCATTCTATTTAATGTTAGGAATTTACACGTCATCAATCACCTGCTTCCTGTTGTGCTGAAAAAGTCAGGGGGACTGCCAGCTTTGTCATATGGCAGCCAAAGTGAATGTGTTGACAGCTGAAATCAGAAAGCACAAAAATATTTGAAAAGGTTTTAGAAGAGACAACCTGCTTTTGAGTTTCAGCAGCTCAGTCTGGCTTAAACGTGAGGGGAGGAGATTGCCTTATTAGCCTTCCCTGGCAGCGGGGCTGATTGAAAACTGTGCAGGACAATCCATTCCTGTTCTTTGAGCTGATTTTAATACTTTATTTAGTGGCAGTCCTTCCTCTTCTTCCTCAAAGTTTATACTTCTTCTCTCTCTCTGTCTTTCAGCTGTACAGCTCCATGGACTTTGGAAGAAAATGGCAGCTCATGCACGAGCGGGTCACTCCAAACAGGTTTTACTGGTGAGTTATGCCCTCAGGCTTTGCTTTCTTTGGGCAGGTCACGGAGGGGAGAAGAGCATCTAACTTGAACAGATTGGTTGCTTTACCTGAACACTAAGTATGCCCTTGGTTTTGGTCATCATCAATGTTATATTCTCAGTCCATAGTACGTATGTTGCAGTGCTATGGGTGAATGTCTCCATGTTTGTAACTCTTTCTTGTCTGATAACAGTGGTGTCTTGTACATATGAGTACAAGTCTTTTGATAATTGCAAACCTCCTGCTTCTTTGTTATATACCTACTTATTGTAACACAGAGAAACTGCCCAGTGCTTCAGTGACAAAGTTATGATCATTAGACCTCCTATTTTTAACCCTTCTGAGAGCTGCTTTAGCCTACGACAGTCTTTTTGCAGAGCCAGTCATTCTGACCAGTCTCCTTATGCAACCATTGGGAGAAAGGATGATTCAGACTCTGCTTTGAATCACTCTCTGAGGAGCCAGTTTCTTTCTACTGACTGGTGAGAGCCCAGGATCTGCAAACAGTTTGCTAAAAATCTGCTTTGTGACTATTTTCCTTTGCATTTCCCAAGCGTCAGCCTCCAAAATTGGGAGAGTGTCTTAAAAATGGATGATTAAATAAATTTACTTCCTGTCTCCAAGCTCCTCCATTTCAAATGCTGCTTTTCCAAACTTCTCTCCGCCATGTGAAGGCCCAAGAATTGAATTTAGAGAGAAAGAGAAAGCCCAGCAGTAGTCTTCTGCAGTTAAATCTAGGATTTGGGGCTTGAATCAGATTCTGAACACTGTACTACGTGCCAGATGATGGTGTGTGTGTAGAAGTGCTGATTTACAGAATCTGTGAATAGTTGAAGAAGTGCCTGGTCCTTAAGGCCAAAAAAGATCATAATATTAAGGAACCAGAGGCTCTTATTTACAATGGTTAAAAATAAAAAAGAACTTGGATGACTTAAGAATTGGCTCCCAATTGCAAAGCATGATGTATATATCTTAGAGTCAAATTCTCATATAAATTCTTGCGTGTCATTAAAAGTACCTGGAATCCAGGCCCAAAATATCTGTGGATTGGATTTGCAGTATTTGCACACCTTGCAGTGGATATAGACACCTCATGGGATTTTCAAATTGTCCAGGTCCTTCTGCAAATCTCTCCCGCATTTAAAACATGACTTTCTGGCACCAAGTCTGGAGATTTCCCCCAGTGTGCCTGTGGATTTTGGACAACGTAAGAAGGTTTTTGAACATCTAGGAAAGGAAGTTGTAAAGCTCCTAAGTCACATAGACCTGCAAAATGTGTCAAAGGTCTAGAACCTTGTCTAACCATGTCACCGTCTCACATTTCCATAGTGAAGGAAAGGTGGTTATGTTCTCCTGGTTGTGGTGGCAGGTGGTTGATTGACTTAACTACCCAAAATCCTTTGATTTCAGTATTCATGCTAGGTGCATATGACAAAAGCGAGTGTAGATCCTCTCCAGGTGTATCCTTCTGTGGAGTAGAATAGCTGGTCTTATGGGATAATTGTACCCTACCCTTCAAATAGCACAGCTGAGCTTAGGGGAGAGGCTTTCTTGGAGGATCAAGTGCAAGGGCTGAGCTGACTTGGGAACAAAGCAGAATGTTTTTCTAAAGGAGAGGCTGTGTTGTTGTGGGTTTTTTCTACTTTCATATAATAATGGTTAATGGAAATTGCCTGTTTGTCTCTGTCCATTTGATACCCAAACCTGTATATTGTTTTCCACAATCTACCTAATTTTTTATCCAGCCTTTTGGCTGCATAGTTTGAAAGCTGCTTTTAAACACTGCATTATATAAAGCCTCTGTTTCAAGTGTCTCTTTCTCTTAGAAAATATAGAATCTTCTATAGTTAAAACTCATATGGCATAGACTTAAAAATCTTTATTCCACTCAGAAACAGTAGAATTCCATTGACAATAAACTTTCCAAAAGAGTGAATTAGGGTTTTCCCAGAGTGAGAGAGATTTGAACCAATTCATAGTGCCAGGGGTCAGAGATGTTGAAATTTTGGAACATAATAACTCCCCTTAGCTGTCCGATTTCTTTCTTTTTTCCTTTCTTTCTTTTTAAAGCTGCAAACTGTGATGGTTTACAAGCTCTGGCTTCTACTATGTGTACAGAAAAAGAAATGCAAGAACACTTTAGCCTCAGGAATTTGGTGATTTCTTTTTATTAGGCTATGAAAGAGGGAGAAAGTGGGTATAGCTATAAGTTTCAGAAAGAGATGAGCCACTGCTCTGTGGAGTTCATCAGCCTATCAAATACCACATTATCAAACCTCTTAATCGAAACTTCCAGAAAGGTGAAATAATAATGATATGGAGGTGCCAAAATCAGAGGTAAGCTGCTCGTTTGTGCTGGTCTGCGTTGTTAATTAGTAGGGGCTCAGGTAAGCATCCTTCATCAAATGGGACAGTCTACATCTGATTTGAATGCGGCTGGCTTTATCTGGGCAGCCTTTGTCGAATGTTTTTGCCTTCAAAGCATGACTTTATCTCTCACGCTGCTGTGAGTGGGCTTGTGAAGACTATAATCTTCACCTGGTTCATGGGATCAGTCAGCCTGACAGGGAGAGGTCTTATTTTTCTCCCTGAGACCTTTCCAAATAATTATACCTTCCCTGAGAGAGCTCACATATAGAGACTTTAAGGCCAGGAGAAAATTACGATTACATCAGAACTCATGAGGTTGGGATGTGAATTTTCACTCAGAACAGTAAGCAAGACACCTCTGTTAGTCATGGACACACAAGTCACTCTGTGCATTTTGCTGTAGCTCTGGCAGGCAGCATCTGTGATGGCTCCGCACCGGTCAAAAACAAAGTCCTGAGCTCCAATCCTGATCTGTGGCTTTGTATCCTGGCTCTTGCCTTCAACTTCTTTTCTTAGTCCCAGACGTTGGTGCTAATCACTGGGTTGTAGTTTTGTGTACTCATCCCATATGGCTGTCACATGTCCTGCAGTTTGTGGGACATCTCTCATCAGTTCCTGCAGCCAGCTCAAAGTTTGTGCATGAGCTGAGATTCATCTCTGGGCCACTCGTAGGATTTGAGATCTCTACTTCTGTAGTAGTGATTCATTTGTTAGCTACACCCACTGATGGCAGTGGCAGAGCTTGAACAGAATGTGTTTCCTGATGTGAGTACAGGCATCCAAATTTGGCTCCCACGTGCCTTGGCCTCAGAGATTTTAATAACTTAGGATCCTGTAAGGCTGGAAATAGGCACTTACGCTAATGTGATACAGAAATTCCCAGATCACTCATCACACTGAAATTACTCAAGATAACTGGAACCAGCATGGGTGCAAAGTTTCTTAAAGACCTACTCAATGTTCTTTTCTTTTAAAACGCTTTTTTGCAGCTCCCTCTGGGCCCTGTTTATTTTCTCTCACTGTAACTTAGACACCTGTGCTGTCATGTGGAGGGATATAAAAAATATGGTCCATATTTTGTACTGTAGAAATATGGGAAAGTTGGGAAAGTTTCCTCTTCTGTAATACACATGGTGTGTTCTGTGCTGACTAAATACTGTCTCTGTTCAGATAAGAACTCAAAGTACTTGATTGTCCTTAAGTTGCTTTACTGCCTCTGCCTTTTCCTGTGGTGGGACAACAGGACTAAGCAGGTGGGCAGGCCAGATTGGTTAACGGAACATTCACCAAGTCTTGTTCAGCACTTTGCTGGATCACAGTTTTCCATGTCATCTTAGGTGACTCAAGCTGACTTTGCCTTATTACCCTCTAGGTAAGACTGGGATAGGAGAGCATTTCTTTTCCTCGTTGGGTATACTGGGTGAAGTACTCAAATATTGTGATATTAGGTGCTACAGCAGTGGATTAAGAGCACTGAAGGGCAATAGAAAGTTAAAAGATGCGTTAGTGGCATATGAAGTCCTTTCATAATCTTATGGCTTAATTCTTTAAAATGTGGAGTTCCACAAGGTGACCTATGTTTTCTGGCTAATCAGCGAAATGGCTGTGAATATCATCCCCTGTCCATCAGTCTTCAGAGGCCCTGCCCATGTTTGCTGAGCAAACACAGGGATTGCCATCCTGTGCAGAGGACAGAGCTATACTCCTTGGAACACCCACCCCATTTCTTAGGGTCTCCCCAGGCTGCTACTCGTTCACGTTTCCTGCCTCCCATCATCACTGGGGAATATGAAGCGGTGGATGTGGGACCAGTTTCCTTTTTTTTTGTCTTGTACATCTAGACATTTACCCTTCTCTCATTTATTTTTTTTAAACATGCTCTCTGGGACTTTGGGTGATTCTGTCAAAGCCTGGGAGTGGGAACAGTGGGGAAAACCCATTTGTGTGGAAGAAAGGGAGAAATCTGCACAGCATTTCTGAAGGCTACGGGGATATTTGGAGCATTGAAGTCAGTGCCCAGGGTGAGCCTAGTCAGTAAAAGATACTGAAATACACACTAGTGATGAAAGCTGGGCAGAAAACAGCAACGAGGCAGGAGGGGAGAGACAGCAGGTTGAGGAAAATAGGACGTGCACTAGCCTGGCTTCAAGGAGCAATGTTTGTATCCGCAAATAGGAAAAATGTGGTGTAACAAGCAGTTCTCAAATACACTGCTGATTCCCTTTCTGAGACTCCCCAGAATTTTATTTTTTCTTTTTCTGTGATAACCAACCAGATTTCTGGTTGTTTTGGCATCCATGAATGCCAGCCACAATCGTTTTGAACTCCAAGGATGAAAAATCGGGAGAAGGGAACAGGCTATGCTTTCACTGGGAGAAGGGAAGAGGCTGTGCATCCACTTAGGCTATGCTTTGGAATTACAGCTTTTCTGTCACAGTTGTTTGAGGCATGAGCCAGCAAATTTTGTGTCTTGAGGGTAAGATTTTCACTCCTTTTTGTCATGATTTTGGATAGGAACAGTGATAAAATTTAGCTAGTGTATTTCTATTGATTTACAGCTTGAATTTCATGAAGACTATAGTGGAGGCTGGTTTGGATATCTGAGAGTAATG